AAAATAGTGTTTGAGAATCCGATCTCGTACAGCACGCCACCAAGAAATGGGCCAACGCTCATTCCGAGTCCTTGGCAAATAACCAACCAGCTAGCAAGTGTCGTCCGTCGTCTGATTCCAACAATCCGTGGGTCCGTGCAGTATCGCTTGCAGTACATGAACATGCAAAATGCAACACCGTTCAGGCAGCGGCCAATCAGGATCAAATACAAGAAGTTGGCATGGTATGCAAGAGCGTAGGCGATGTGACCTAGGATGGCAAAGAAGCAACTGACATGAAGTGACATTGTGTACATCCCTGAGGTCAGGAGGAAAGGACAGATGTTGAAATGCCATCTAAGAGAGGAAGGGACATGAACGCACCTTTATCGTACCTTGTCAAAGGAATCAAAGAAAGTCCAGCGAATGCTGTCGGGATACCAATGACAATACCTGAGAAAGTGGCAGTTCCTCCCAAGTATTCTGCATACTTGTTCGACGATGAAACGACAATGAAAAATGAAACCTACGAGGGCTGCTGTGAGCGACTGTTCCGTGGATTCCATGTCACAGACAGCAGAATTCTTACCTGTTGGAGGAAATTCATTGCAATCATAATGACCAGGGACGCCATGTTCGGAAGTTTGAAATCTTCTGCATCATCGCTCGTCTCATGGCGAGACGAGGACGGATGAATATGGTTCAATAGCCTTTTCAAAATCATTGCATATGCCAGCAGTCAAGAACACCTAGATACCTGACAAACGCGAAACTGCGCAAATATCGTAATGGCGAGGGGATTAGGTGATGCGTGTGGTCAGCAGGCTCGGAAGATGACATGACCGGTCCGCAAAAACAAAGGGAGTCCGACGTCCTCTACTAAAGTTGGAACTTGGAAGTGACTAATCCACACATCGGACAAGTGAGAGCATGAACGATTGGCCGGATGGTCTGATTGTTAAGACGTCCCTGCCGGATAGTCGGGAAGGCTTAGGTTCAATTCCTAGTCCCGCCACAATTTTGGGTTTCTTTAAGCAGTTGTACGTGGTACTCAGATCCACAAAACAGTGCATCTAGATCTTCTCTTTTCGGTATACAGCTCTGTAGAGAGCATCGTATAGGTTGTACAACCTGTGAAGCCTTGTAAAGTGGGGACTTAGACGGTCGACCACACTAGTTTGTTGATGAGTCCCCCACACTGCTGACCGGAAATATCAACATATGTGTGGGTGGTAGCCACCAGTACTGCTAGTACTGGCATGTCTTACAATTTTCATGTTTTAATGCAAGACTGAATATACATATACAGGGTCTCGTGGTATCATAGACATCTCCAGCTAAGGTACTTGGGAAGAGGCAAGTCCATACTCAGTCGTGTTGAAGGATGGACGAAATAACGATTCTAGGTGAGTTTCAGACGACATTGAAAGTACGTAGGTTTATATAGTGGGCAAAAGATTAGAAGACTGTCGTCTCTATAATATAAGAGTCCACGCTCTGTTCCCGCGGAACCAATTCGCGTGAGTAGGTACGATTTCGAACTTCCTGTCCCTTCCTCTTTTCTCATTCTCATCGCACTATCATGATTTCTGCATGCACTTTTCGCGGTATCTTTGTTATTCAGAATGCGATGGTGTATACAGTGGACAAGAAAAGATATTGTGGAATCCAACACGATCTGCGGGGACCAAAACGCGTGAGCAGGTACAATTTTGAATCCGGATGTAGGTGGTCAGGCCAAATTGATATTCGTAACAAAAGCAATAGACCGAATTCCAGGGACGAACATCGAACTCAACGAACCGTCCTGGATCAACATGCTGTATGTCTTTCTTTTTATTTGTCTACTCACGCTGAGGGGCCTGTTACAATGTCGGACCATTCTTCTTCACGTCCTCCATTAATTAATACCCTCACGACTCACCATACCAGGAGCTGTCGAAAAGGATTAGTACAAAATCGCCGTGTGCGCATCACCGCCCTGCATCACTGTTCTATCAGAGCGCCCAAACACTACAGATTTGCCTCCCTCACCTCACATTCTCCTTCAATCCTCGTGGCTCAAGCTGAGTCATACACAATTTCCACTTCGAATCGCATACGCCCTGCACAGAGATGCTACATCATAATCGGTTCGGAAACGGTTGAGGTAGTTCCTTGGTGAGTGTGTTTAGGATCCGGTGATACCAAAGGCCCCTAGATCTGGGATATGAAGTTTTCTCTCCCCCCACTAGACCTCCCCCAACCGTAAACCGCCCTCTCGGTGGGCCATGAGTAGATGAAACCGGCTGGGTGATCGCACCCTGTTGCAGTCGTGCACTGACCATTTACTCGTGTATAGGCTCAGCAGTATCATTCCTAAACAGAACGAGAAGGTTGGCGCGGTCGGGGTAGTGGTAGCCTCCTGACAAGAACTTTCGCTGCTTCAAAACCGCTGCCATCCCGGCCATCCTAGCGTTCCTCTTGCCCTAGCTAACAAACCCTTATCGTAGGAGACGGGTACCTGCAGCGGGTGCCAAGGACGTGGTCTGCCTCACGACGCTGTACTGGACGCTCTGGCTTGGGCTTCGCTTTTCCAGGCCAGTTGCTAGATACTGCAAACATCGTATATATAAAAGACTCCTACTATAGCAAATAATGAAGCATTCCGCTACTTTCACTAACATGATCCATTTGCCTTACTCATACCACACGTCCGAGGGTGGGCGGATCATCTCGTATCATATAAGGGAGAGAAATAGTCGTACGTGACTAAGTAATGCAATTAATTTCAAACTGCAGATATCGAACTCTATAAGATGGAGCACAAAGCGCCAGAGAATGCCCCTCCCCACCAGACAGGTCATCCGTTTTTGGTTTTCAGATCCCTCCACAAGGTTGTAAACATAATAACTCCAATACCGACCATAGCAATCTCCAATCCTACGAAATTCAGCATTCCAACTGAAACACCCGAGCCGCCCCAGATCGCCCCCGTAAGGCGACCAACATAATTACTGAATTGGATTGCCATTGAAGTGCGCCCATTCCACTCCGGCGGGAGCTGCTTGCTGAGCAGGCTAAGTGTCACCGTAGTCGCAAGGTTAAATCCAAGCGCCACGGTCCACCAGCATGCGAACAGTGAGCCGTAATTGACTTTGTCTGAGCGGAGGATGGAAAGAAATATGAGAAGGCCCGCAAGTCCGAGAGTCGTCCCGAAAGCGAGGAGTTTACGGTCTTGGGTGTGACGTGCAGCCAGGAGGTTTGCGAGGAGGAAGGGGAAGCATGTGATTCCCCCGAGAGCGATAAAATTTCCTGCTGCAAACGGAGACCAGCTCAGGTTTGCAGTGGCGGCACCAAATACAGGCAAGTTGGCTTCCCAAGAGCCCAGGATGAAGAAGCAGAGCATCGAGAACCAGCACATACATGCAACGACGGCCCGCTGGGATCGAGTGATCATCGAGAGCTGTGCTCTGTACGATTCGCTAACAGGTGAAGGAGAGGGTGTGACAGGCGATAATAAAATTTTGGGAAGGCTTGTTTCTTTATCTGTTGGAATTTTTGCATCGGTTGCCAACTGCAACTCCAAGATGGCTTCCGATTGGGGAATATCCTTGAACAAAGCTGACATAAAAACCCAAAAACATGCATAAAGACCAGCCATGACCCATCCCGGGCTTGTATAGCCGTTAAAAAGCGAGTTTGGGAACCCGATCTTGTACAATAAACCACCGAGGAATGGGCCCATGCTCATTCCTAGTCCTTGGGAAACGACCATCCAGCTACCAAGTGTCGTCCGTCGTCTGATTCCAACAATACGCGGGTCCGTGCAGAATCGCTTGCAGTACATCAACATGGAGAATGAAACACCATTTAAACAACGGCCGATTAGAATCAAATATAAGAAGTTGGCACGGTACGCAAGAGCGTAGGCGATGTGACCTAGAATGGCAGAGCAACAAGTAACGTGAAGGGGTATTTTGTACGTTCCTGATATCAGGAGGGAAGGACAAAAGTTGAAGTGCCGTCCGACGAAAGGAAGGGATATCACACCTTTATCGTATCTTGTCAAAGGAATCAAAGTAAGTCCAGCAAATGCTGCCGGGATACCGATGACAACACCAGAAAAAGTGGCATTTCCTCCCAAGTATTCTGCATACTTGTCCGATGATGAAATGATGATGAAAAATGATAACTATGAGAACCATCGTTTGTCACAGTTCTGATGTTCCAGACAACTGAATTCTTACCTGGAGTAGAAGATTCATTACGATCATGATGACCACGGATACAGTATCTGGAAGTTTAAATTCCTCTTCATCGTGGCTCGTCTCATATCGAGACGAGAGCGAACGAGTATTTTCCAGCAGCCCCTTGAAAACCATTGCAAGCCAGCGCAGAGCACCCAGAAGAGAGGGTGTTCAAGCGTGGAAATATCGTTGGCCTTTACGCAGGAAACTTATAAGCTCAGATCAAAAGTGACCGGTCCGCAAAAAGTCGCCGGAAATGTGAAAGTTAAGTGCACTCCGGCGTCCTGGAGGGGCACCGATGACTCACAATGGGCGTCGACGACTCATGACGAGCACCGATAATTCACAAATATAGCCAGTTCGGAGTGCCGGTTCCCTGAAGTTGGCGTTATTTTAAGCTGCCGAATAAGTCCAAGCGGTTCTCGGTCAACTCCAGGGGCATAAGGACTGACAATGGGTCACCGCTGTACCACTAAGTTTGACGGAAGAGACCTCGTGGCATGCATAGCACATGTGACGTTGTATAGTGGTATCTGCTGATTAAATTACATTGAACATTACCATTACTGGGTGTTGAATAACTGTTTCGTGGGGCTCATTGCTTTGGGCTATGATGGAACTGTGTATTGAAAATAATTAGTGATGTTAATGGTTGATCCGACTGGGAAACGTACGATGTCCCGCAGCTGAGATTGTGCATCATTAAATTGCTTCTCAAGATACTTTGCCTGGCGTATCACATGAGGTCAATGAAAGGCCTGCAAAGCTACTGAGTACTTTTACCTTCTTGTTCAGGTTGGTGATGTCATCCGTCAGCTCCTTTTCCTGGGTTTTGAGTTCTTTTTCCATCGTTTTTCGCGGAACCATCATAAACCTAGAATGGAAGTTGCGGATGGTCCTTGTCGTACGACTAGTCTAGACGCACATTTTGCCAACACCCTTGTACAAATTGACATCTCCTTGAATGCCTTGGATCTCATCAATAGTGAGCTGGAGTATCCTCCTCTCGCGATCTTTCGAAGCAGCTTGCTGTTTGGAAATGTTAAGGGCGCGCTGTGATTGGACGGCGGTTTGCTGAATCTGGACCAAGATCTACCAAATTGAGGGTTAAAGTCAGAGGATACTACAAAGACCAGTGATCATATGCCACCTTCCGTAGCGTGTCGTCTGGCAGGGTAGACATTTTGGCGGGTGATTGGTAGCAAGTTCAGCTCTGTTCAGCCCATCGATGATGAGCAATCTTTCAAGTAAGGATGTCAGAGCTTGGACCGGAGTTCGAAATTTATTCTCACTGAACGCGTCGATTTGAACAGCGTCCAAACGTTGGCGTCCGTCCCTAAAATCAAAGCCACTCCTCCACTATGGCCTCCTTCGAAGATTACGATGAATTTGGAAACTATGTAGGCGCGGACTTGGGTTCTGATGAAGAGGAGGAAGAGGAGGACGTTATGCAACAGGACTTTCGTCAGGTACCTCCACCTGCAACACTGGAGGGATATGATGACGAGCCTATGCCAGCTGCAGAGGGTGCATTGATGGAGATTGATGGTATGTGACGGTGCATATTTTCTGTATGTTTCTTATGTAGACTTCCAGAGCCCGTCCATAATGCTGTTGTTCTGCACGAGGACAAGCAATACTATCCATCAGCAGAGGATGTTTACGGCCCAGACGTGGAGACTCTCGTACAGGAAGAAGATGCTCAGCCGCTTACCGAGCCCATCATCGCACCTATCAAAGTACGGAAATGGACGGTAGAGGAGAAGGATATGCCACAGACGCGCTT